AAAAAAAAAAAAAAAAAAAGAACTGGTATACAGGTGACTCAGTTCTAATCACCTGGTGTCACTAACTTACATGATGACTAAGTGGGGGGCAAAATGTCACATCCCTTCACTGGGGCTTAATGTGATTGGGTAAAGAATAGGATCCCTCCCCCTAAAACACCCAGCACACGTAAGGGGTACAAGTCAGGCCTGGGAGACAGATAGGGTTACCATGGTCCCTTGGCCCGCAGGCCCCTCCTCAGGGCTGCAGAGACTGAAGGAGAGAATGTCAAAAGGGCAAGGATGGCTTATGGCCCACAGACGACCAGCCCTTCCATCCCGCCAGCCAAACCAAGAGCCCTCAAATGTGCAAACCACACCTCGGGTCTTGTATTCTTTTAATTTTTATTTACTTACTTATTTTTGAGCCCTGCATAGAGTGCCATGGCGTCACAGCTCACAGCAACCTCAAACCTCTGGGCTCAAGCGATCCTCCTGCCTCAGTCTCCTAAGTAGCTGGGACTATACAAGTGCCCACCACCACACCTGGCTAGTTTTTTTTTCTATTTTTAGTAGAAACAGGGGCTCACTCTTGCTCAGGCTGGTCTTGAACCCCTGAACTCAAGCGACCCACCTGCCTCAGCCTCCCCAAAGTACTAGGATTACAGGTGTGAGCCACCATGCCAGCTTCAACTCTTTTTTTTTTAATTAATTAATTTTTTAAATTTATTTTTTGTTGTTGCAGCTTGACTGGGGCTGGGTCCAAACTCACCACCCTCGGCATATGGGGCTGACACCCTACTCACTGAGCCACAGGCACTACCCTCAACTCCCATATTCTGAAAGTCCATGATCTGACGTGGCCAGTGCCCTCCCAGGGAGGTAATGTGGAGGCCACGTGGGCACTTACCGTGTTGGTGGACAGGGCAACAAAGTGCTTTGCAACTGTAGAGGGCTGTAAGAGACAGAGAGTCATGTTACACCAAACCCACCCCAGAGGGGCCATCCAAGGGTAGGGATCCTCCTATGCTGGAGAAACCAAGGCTCTACGCAGGAGTAACTATGCCCAGTTCTTGGTTCTGAGGCTGTTGGAGGAGCCCCAGGTCTAGGTCACAAAGACACAAGTCACCCAACCAACCTGCCTTTTGCCCCTGACAATCATACCAGGCCCAGGGATGCCCCTCCCTTATAAAATGGGAATGGCTAGGCACAGAAGATCCTGGAGGGCCAAGGAACCTAAAGAAAAGGCCATTAAAGGGCTCTCAGGGCTCGGCGCCTATAGCTCAACCGGCTAAGGCGCCAGCCACGTACACCTAAGGTGGCGGGTTCGAATCCCCAGCCCGGACCCGCCAAACAACA